GCAGAGAAAGAAGAACATTTGACAGATCCAGAGCTTTATACTCAAATCCTCAGGATGTATGAGGCAAGCTTTCAGACTCTGCACCCAAACAGACTTGGGTTCAAATCCTGGCTGTGTTACTTCCTCACTGTGTGGCCCTGAATAATAAATGATTTCTCATCATGAAATGGGAATTATTTATACTACCAGCCTCATGGAGTCATTTGGGGAAATAAGTGAGTGAAAGCAGTTAAAAAGCTTAGCACACTGCCTGACCTAGAGCAGGACCTCACCCTTTGTTGATGTGGCCATTACTCATAATTTTCAACCAGCAAACCTGAGGAAGGCCCACTGGCCTTATTGTAAAAATCAAAAGAATCAAAATGCTTTGAAAAGTGCTAAACATTTTCACCTGCGTCGACTTTTTATTTTTTAATTTATTTTTTATAGAAATTTATTGGAAATTATGGGGAAATGTTACTTGTATGGAAGGCACTGCTAAGAAAATAAAGCAGAACTGGAATTCTGTTTAAAAGCTAAGTGAGGGTAGAGATTAAGCTATTTGTTTTAAAAAGGGTTTAGAGTTATGTGGGTTTAAATTACACACTCATTAATTTAATCAAGAGAATGTCAGCTTTATTAAATAAATGGATTTCTGAGATGTTAGAGGTTATATAAAATAAGACTAACAATGGATGCAAGCCCGGTGCAGGATATTTTTTGAGATGTCATTGGCTAGTCTAATCCATTCTCCCACTCTGTGATAAGTATTTGAAATTTTTTAAATGCTTAATAAACATTAAGCCTAAACCCAGGGTTGCAAGTATTATTATACTTGAACAATAGGAAACTGAAAAGAAAAAGTAAGTGCTCTGCCCTGGACATTCTGTCTTAGAGGTAGGCCCATATAAGTCTAGCATCTCCAAACTCAAAACTCAAGACCAAGTATAAAGTCGGGTTAAAATCACCTATATCAAGAACAGTCAAATCTCTAGAAAAAGAAAAGAGATTTGTGGAAGTTGGCAAGTCCAAGATTGACGGGCAGAGTGGGGACACTGGGGAGGACGCATCTTCTCTTTTAAGGGGTAAAGGACTTGCCCCTGTCCCTCTTTACACCATTTATAATTGTGTGCATATTATATCCAGAGAAGACTGGGAGGTTATCCAGGGAATATGATTTGTGTAGACCCCAAAGAGAAGGAAAGTTGAGGGACTTTCCATCTTGGCAGGAAAGGATCTTGGAATGGAGGACAGAAAGGAGGTCATCAGAGGTCATTTGCTTTCTACAGAAGAATTCTCTGGAGGCAGCATAGGGTGATGATTAACAAGGCAGCCTCAAGCAGCAGACTGCCTGGCACTGAGGCCTGACTCACTATTTCTCACCTACCTCACCTGTAAAATGGGATAGTAATAGTACCCACTTCCCTGAGCTATGGTGAGGATTAATTAATGAGGTAGTCTCTGCAAAAGATGTACCACGCAGTACCGAATAAGCACTTCATAAGCATCAGCCCAAGATTCTTGACCCTAGTAAATGTGTGGCCACAGTGCCATGGGACCACATGCCCATTACTTTGTTAGACATTACCCCAGAGGAACTTGGAAGTCAGCACATTCAAAGCTGAGCCCATCACCTTTTTCGAAATCCCTCTGATGGCATTTCTGATCCTCGTGGCACCATAATCAGCCTGGCACTGAAACCAGAAACCAGTTCATCCCTCCTTTCATGCACACACCATCGCAGACCAAGACCATTCCACTGAGCTCTTTAAAATGTCCCCAGTCTGCCTTGCCCTCCCATTCCCATTGTCATTGCCCTGTTTGGGCCTTATATTGTTTGACACATCTATGCAGTTGTCTCTAACTCTGCAGACACCAATATCAGTCTGGCTCCAAACCTCAGTCCTCGTCCCTGAGTCAGGGAGACCTTTCTGAAACATAAGACTGATGGTATCTCTCACAGATGTTTCCTTGACTCCCCAAGGCACACCAGGATAAAGTCCAACTTCAGTGGTATGGTACCACAGAACCTCCCAAATCTGCCCTGCTCCAATCCTGCTATCCAGTTGTGCCCTCTCTCCCTCACACCCTTCACTCCATCCCTGCTGAGTATGTGGCAGTCCCCAGGAAGCTGGGGCAAGCCTCAGTGTCTGTGCCTCCCTACTCCCTGTGCCCGGGATGCTCCATACCCTTTGTGCACCCAGGGCCCTATCTTTTCAAAACTCATCACAAGGTTTCATTTCACTAGGAACCATCCCTGGCGCCCTCTCAGAATTGACCATCTCTGGTTTGTGCTGTTATCACAAGCCACTGCTTTTCACCTTTGGTGCCTACAATAACTTACCATGCCCGCTGACATGACTTATTTTTCTGTTATACCATAAAGCCCTTGTGGACAGAGATCAAAGTTGATATATACCTCTAGCCCTAGCCCCTGGCCAGTCCACACACTAGTGACCAAGTCAACACATCATCTCGACCAGGATTGTAAAGAGCTGAGAGGACTGTGCCTTTATAACTACCATTTCTTGAGTGGGCACTAAGTGAGTTTATATGTTTTTTCCCATTTAATTTCCCGAACAATACATGACAGAGGTACTATATTATTATTATCTGCATTTTACTGGGGCCTCTAGAAGTTAAGTAACTTGCCCAAGGTCACAGACCTAAGAAGCAGTCTGGACTTGAACACATCTCCTTCTTTCCCCAAATCAACTCCACTGCCATCCCTCCACCTCAATAATTCAAGCCCTTGAGGAAGAGCAAACTAGTTGCAGCTTTTTTACAAAACTCAGTTTCTAGACTTTTATGGGAAACCAGATACCCGGTCCAGCAGGAATGGAATCCCCAAGTCTATCCTAGAGAGTAGAAAGTCCTGGCTGGAGAGCTTCCCATGACAGAAGACATTGGCTGTTCAGAGATGGTCTATCAAAGACATATTTGAGGCTAGAATAGAACCACAGCCACTGAAAATGAATTTCCATTTATCTCTTTCGTGTTTTTACATTTTAGGAAAAGTCAGTAGAGCTGTTCCATGGTGTATATTAAATTCTCTTTCTAATTCACCCTCCCAGATTTCATTTGGGCCTTGTATTATATTTCATTATTTATTATACAGTTCAGCCCTGCCTTGCCATTGCTTCACCTTGTTACTAACAACTATCCCAGGTTAGACTCAGCCTGGTGCAAAGGCAGCCAGCTCTGAGGGTCAAGGCCACAGTTGCAATTTGGCCTGAAAACTCCATCCAGTACAGCAAAAATACCTACCCAGAAAGGTAGATTGTTAGCCTGGAATTTGAAGTGTTTTTCTTTTTCCCCCTCCTAAATGAGCCAGGAGGAAACTATTCAAAGTATGTTTGTGATCTGGTTATTCACTCCCCAGCTTGCCCTTCTCATCCAGATATGCACAAGAGCAGCCATTGGGCAGGTGCTGAAGGACTTCTGAAATGAAATCCTCACACCAACAAATGTTGTCATCACTCTGCTGTCCCTGTCCCTTCATTTTAGATAGCTTCCTTGATAGCTGAAATTATGGGCGTTTTCTTTTTAACATTATGAATTATTTTATTTTATATATTACAGTAGTCCCTCTTTATCCACAGGGAATGCTTCTCAAGACCCCTAGTAGATGCCTAAAACCACAAATATCCCCAACACTATCTGTATTCTGTTTTTCTAAACACACATGCCTCTGGAAGTTTCATTTATCAATTTGGCACAGCAAAAGAGTAACAATACAATTTCCCTTCTCTAATGTTAATCTTCTTCTCATGCTCTTCGTCCCTACTCTGTTCTTAGTTACTCTCCTTATATCAAAGAAGACATTTGGCATTTGTTTTTTAGGGATTGGCTAGCTTCACTTAGCATAATCTGCTCTAATGCCATCCATTTCCCTGCAAATTCTATGATTTTGTCATTTTTTAATGTAGAGTAATACTCCATTGTGTATTATACAAAATTTCATACAAGAGGAAGTGAGGGGAAAGGGGAAAATAATACAAGGGGGAGAAATGAATGACAGTAGAGGGGGTAGAGAGAGAAGAGGGGAGGGGAGGGGAGGGGATGGGGGATAGTAGAGGATAGGAAAGGCAGCAGAATACAACAGACACTAGTATGGCAATATGTAAATCAATGGATGTGTAACTGATGTGACTCTGCAATTTGTATACGGGGTAAAAATGGGAGTTCATAACCCACTTGAATCAAAGTGTGAAATGTGATATATCAAGAACTATGTAATGTTTTGAACAATCAACAATAAAAAAAATTTTTAAAAAGAGTAACAATAAAACTAAGGATAAAATAGGACAATTATAACAATATACTGTAATAAAATTGCCAGAATCTTGATTCTTGCCCTTTGAGGCCATTATTAAGTAAAATAAGGGCAACTGGACACAAGCACCATTGACAGGAGAAATCTTTTTTTTCCCCAAGCTTCCTTGTTCTCATCTGAAACTTCTGGCATGTTCCAGCTGTAGCACAGAAAATTAGACAGAGGAAAGTGAGGGGTTTATTCAAATAACTGGAGTCAGAAAACATTGAGAACATAGAAAAAGTACCAATAAACTCCTGAAAGATGTCAGAATGGGGAGAAATTGTGCTCTGCAGAGCAGTGAAGAGACTTGCAGTGTTACAGAGAGGAAATGGCATTTGAACAGAGCCTTGACCCTGAAGGATGGGGAAAGTTCATTTCAAGCGAAGAGGAAATTGTGTAAACAAAGACACAACAGAGGCAGGAAAGTGAGGACATTGGTGGGAACCGGGGTATTAATAGTGCTGTATTATCAACAACAGTGCCCTGAAGACAACTTTGTGGCTCATGTGTCTGCCACCAAAAACATACATCCCACAACCAAGTATTTTACAATTTTTTTTTTTTTTTTTTGCCCAGGGAGCATCTTTCAAACGATATAACAGAACTGGAGATTCTCCCTTTTGAATGGTATTATCTAGATGCATAGAAGTAGTCATGTTCACTAATGTTGATTTTAAGATTCTGGTTGGTTTTGCTCTTGCAGAAGGAAACTCCACTTGCTAACGCTGCATTCTGGGCAGCAAGGAGAGGAAACCTGGCCCTGCTGAAGCTGCTGTTGAACAGTGGTCGAGTGGATGTGGACTGCAGAGACAGTGTACGGAGGGACATGGTATCTGCATGCCCAGAGCACCCTTTTCCACCCTGCAGGCACGACAGCATCTCACCAATACAGTTCCCTTTACAATGTTGACTTACTTGCTTATGTGTTTGCTTGCTTTATCCCTTTCAAAAAGTGCTGTGTATAGTGGTGATCTTAAAAACACACAGGTAAAGTCAGAAAGGAAACAGTTGCATGCACACAGTGGAAGACAGCCACCAGAAGGTTGAAAAGGCACAGGAAGCAGAATTGGCAGGTTCCAAGAAATAGACTGTTGAGTAAAAGAATGTACTTTAAAAAAAAAGTGAGATAATTTAGAGCACACATGGGTTGTTGTGGATGTGGGAGTTGATTTTCTACAAAACTGAGAAAACTAAGACATTGAAGCCTCCACCCAGCCTCCTATCCCTTCTTCACCATTCATAAACAAAAAGACATTAACTGTCAAGTAAGAAGGGGAAATAAAAATAGATACTATTCCTACTGGCAGGTCCCATCTAGAGAGCCCTTTCCCTCCTCCACTAGAGGCCATGATTTCTCCTGTGCTCAGCAGGACCTCTCTACATCTCTGGGGACAAAAAGCATCTCAGATGAGAAGATGATTTTAGAACTTTAATCAAAATGCTTTCAAAGGAACCTTATTGTTTTTCTGCAAACAAGGGGTGCCATTACACAAATTTATTGCACAAATTTGGTAAATGAAGTCTACCACCAGCCCAAGTGTTTGCTCCAGTTGGCCCACTGGGGATCAGGGCAGGAGAGTGCGCACCATCATATCCACTCCGTACCCTTTTCTACCTGGTTCCGTGTTCCAGAGTCTGAACCATACTGCCCTCCTTCTCTCTGGCCTCTGGTTGGGTTTGGCCAATGGAAGCACCAGCAAGAGACAGGGGCTGGGAAGAGAGAGGGCTGGGGAGCCCAGGGCCCTCCCTGTTCTGTCTGGCAGTGATGTTCTCACTGTGTGCATCCTGGGAGCCGGGCTCTTCCCCTTGCACTTCTGGCCTAGCTGGTCATGGAACCCCACTGTTACTAGCTTCCAGAACTACACTGTTCTTTATAGCCTCTAACACCCAGGCCACAGTGCTCGCTCTCTCTCTCTCTCTCTCTTTCTCATGTATATGGTTTTTTTTCTTTTTTTCTTAATTGATTTTATTTTTTTAAATACACATGACAGCAGAATGTATTACAATTCTTATTACACATATAGAGCACAATTTTTTATATATACCTTTGTATATAAAGTATGTTCACGCCAATTCATGCCTTTATACATGTACTTTGTTTTTTGTTTTTGGGGTTTTTTTTTGCATTACAATTCTTATTACACATATATACCACAGCTTTGTAAATAGTCTCTTTATTAGATTTCTTTCCAATTATCCTAATTTGAATGTACCATCTGTTCCTTGCCAGAACCCAGGCTGACACAGGGTTCTGGGCATCTGTGAACTGACCGTCCTGTTCTTACTTGGATCTCACAGGTCTAGGTCCTACCCGAGACTGTCCAACACAATGGGATAGGCCAGTTATTGTGGCCTCAACCACTAACCACTTTGATGACCACTTTCTCTGTTTTTCTTCAAATTATTCCTATTCAGATGCCCCTAATACTTCCTCCTGACTTTTGGCTTCTCAAGGCCAGCCTGCTGCACCCCACACTCTCCCCCTTGCAGGCACTCTTAAGTCATCTGTCCTGTCACCTTCCTTCCAACAGAGCTTATGCTTTGTCCCTGTCTGTCTATTGGGTGACCACCAGCTATTTTGGCCACAAAGTTTGCTTCCATGGATAGATATTAATAGGTTTGTAGATGGTCTCTTCTTGTCTAAATTAAAAAGCCATTGGGGGAAAAAAAGTAAAAGGCCATTTCATCAGGCTGGACGTGGTGGCACACACCTATAATCCCAGCAGCTCGGGAGGCTGAGAAGGGAGGATTGCGAGTTCAAAGCCAGCCTCAGCAAAAGCAAGGGGCCAAGCAACTCAGTGAGACTCTGTCTCTAAATAAAATTCAAAATAGGGCTGGGAGGTGGCTCAGTGGTTGAGTGCCCCTGAGTTCAATCCCTGGAACTCCCCCGCACAAAAAAAAAAAAAAAAAAAGCCATTTAATCAGATTTCCGGAGAGATGATTCCTTAACCCAAGGAGCATGCTACATGGTGGTCATTTCAGACACAGTGTTATTTTGAAAGGGCCTCTCAGGTTGGTGGTGACTGAGAGCCAGGAGATATGTGGAAATAGTACAGGTTTTGTTTCTCTTGGAATGTCACTGGCTGGGCTTCTGCTTCCTTCAAAGGCCATCTGAGCACGGATTCCAGGTTCCAGGATGATCTCTTCCGATGAGATATCTAGGCTAGTACTTTACTGGCTTATGGGGCCAGCCCCAGGATCACCTAGGAGGCCTGTGAGAGCCATTAGAAAGCAAGGAGAATGGGGCTGGCATTGTGGCTCAGTGGTAGAGCACTTGTCTAGCATGTGTGAGGCACTGGGTTTGATTCTCAGCACCACATAAAAATAAATAAATAAAATAAAGGTCCATCAACAATTTAAAAAAAATTTTTTTTAATAGAAAAGGAAAGAAAGCAAGGAGAGGCCCACAGGACTTTCTTCATTGTCCTTAATCTGAAGTGTGACAATGTTCAGATTTTTTTCTAACAAACAGCATGGTAAAAAACAAATATTTTTCTCTCTGAGCCACCTACTGTACACCAGAAACTTTGGTTTGCTAACACTGATTCACCTTTGATTCCTAGATTAATGTTTTCTTTTAGCCTTTTTAGATGTATAAATGTATGTGTTTCATTGTCTTTTGATTTTGGGCGTCACTATATTTATATACAATTATATTTGTTTGCTCTGTTCAGAACCAATTAGGTTTTTTAAAAATGCATTTTAACATGAGTCAGTGACATGAAGCAATCTTTATCTTTAGAAAATTAAAATCAGTCAAGCCAATGGATGTTAAATATGTAAAATATTTTTGTGCAATTTATCATAACACCTCTTTATTCTCTTTCTCCATTGCTCCATTCTGACTTTTTCTCAGTTGACCATGATATAGAATTGAAATACAATCTACAAAGAAGTATTATTGTTATTTGTTTGAATCCTCTTTTTAAAAAAAAAAAACATATGAACCTAACATTTTTTATTCTTTTTCAAATAACAAAATTAAGTGCTTTTGTACTTCCTTTAGATCACAGTTAATTTTTATTCTGAGACCAGTGTGGCCCATGATTTTTTAAAAAATGTCTATCCTCTCACATAAAAGTATATATTCAATATATTTATAGCTTTTCTAGTGCAAGACTTTTTTTTTTTTTTTTTTTTTTTTTTTTTTTTTTTGCAGATGGTACTGGGAATGGAACCCAGAGCCTCATGCATGATAGGCAAGCACTCTACCATTGAGCTACATCCCCAGTTCATAGCTCTAGTCAAGTTGGCTTTAAACTAAGTGTCTTAGTCCATTTGGACTGTTATAACAAAATACTTAAGACTGGGTAATTTTTAAACAACAGAAAGTTATTACTCACAGTTCTGGATGCTGGGAAATCCAAGGTCAAGGCACTGGAAGATTTGGTGTCAGCTGAAAACTAACCCTCTGTTCATGGATGGTGACTTATTGCTCTTCCTCACCAGTGGAAAGGGGAAAGATGTCCCTTCAACTTCTTATTTAGGGAGCAGGGGCCAGGGGACTGGGGATTGAACTCAGGGGAACTCTGCCACTGAGCCATATCCCCAATCCTATTTTGTACTTTATTTAAAGCCAGGGTCTCACTGAGTGGCTTAACACCTCGCTTTTGCTGAGTCTGGCTTTGAACTCGTGATCCTCCTGCCTCAGCCTCCTGAGCTGCTGGGATTACAGGCGTGTGCCACCTCTCCTGGTTTCAACTTCAGGGTACTCATGAAGATAAAATTCTCTTGACTTAATCACTTCCTCCAAAGCCCTACCTCTTAATACCACCACAATGGGCACTCCAACATGAATTTTGGAACCACACATTTCAGACTATAGTATGAAGGGTTCTCCTATCTGCTGTCTAAATTAAAAATTTCTTCACATTCAAGAGGATGTTGGAGGCTGGAGTTGTAGCTCAGTAATAGGGTGCTTGCCTACATGTGTGAAGCACTGGGTTCTATCCTCAGCACCACATAAAAATAAATAAATAAATAAATAAAAATACAATGACATTATTTTTAAAAAGGGGGAAGTTGGTAATACCAAGCTTGCCACTAATGATCTGGAGAATATAAAGGAAGGAGCTCAAATGAATATGGATGATACAGCCTTTATGCAGCCTCATACCCAAATTCCAGGTATGGTCACGTGGGATAGAAGTATCATTGAGCACTACCATGAAGCCATTAGCTTTTCTTGACTCTATGTACTTTCCATGTGAAGCAAACAAGACTTTCCCAAAACTAACATGGCCATTGATAGATGTCAACAAAAGCTAGGCGATGACCTCAGATTTACTGAACTTTTATCATAATATCTTTTAATATCTAATACTTTCTTAACTAGTAATCTAAAAAGTACTAAACTGGTTGACTAAATAATCTTCTTTACTAATTTAATTAGATACCTTTTTATTCCCCCTTTTTACTGACAAACAGAATGATAGTTGTAAAGGTTTAATAATGTGTCCAAGTTCATACTGTCAGTGACCAGTCAACCATATTGGTTCCCAAGCATGGAAATAGCACAAAGACTAAAATTCACTTAATCACTAAGCATACCTAGTAAGCTTTCCTGTGCAGACTGTCCTTCTTGTCATCCATTCCTGGGAGGCAGGTTGCTAAATATGAGAAGGTGGTGGTTAATATTACAATTTCAAGCCCTTGAAAACAATTGCAAATTAAACTATAAAACTCCACTTCAACCAGACAGGTACATATCATACCTCAAATCCTTAAATCTTTTTTTCTCTTTTTTTCTTAAGTACATGCTTTTCTGCTAAACTATCTCACAGCCCCCCAAGCCCTTGAATCAAGAGACCTTGATGACCACCCTCTTCAACCCCTCAATTTAAGATGCAAGAAATGAGTCCCAGTGGTGTAAGCAACTTGTCCCAGGTTGTGCTACTGTTTGATGACACAGGCAGACTTGGTCCCCTCAACCCCTGATTTTCAATTCTGAAGTCTCAACGCATTCATCTTTATCTGAATCATTATGAAGTTAAAGATTGCTAAATACAAGTTTAAATTTTTTAATTAAAATAAATATTATTTTAAAAAATTTAAGAAGAATTCTAAGTTCAGAAAATCAACTGGTACTGTTTAACCGGTTTTTGCATTTGGCTCAGGAATAATTTAATGTAAATCATAAGTTGAGAGCAATTGTATCACTGATGCCTTAAAATACAATGACCATGGTTCATTTGGACTCTGTTTCTGAAACTAATAGAAGTAAGTGAATTCATAAACCTCAGCATTTGTCGCTTTGCTTTTTCCCATCTAGACTGTGTTATAGGATGATTCATGAGGCATTTTGATCACTGCAGGAAATTTTGCACTTGGATTTGTTCTGGGTAGAGCTGATATCTCTGTGGTCTCTTCTCCAGGATCCCTCTCTCTGACATAACGAGGGCCTAACTGTTCATCTGTCTCTCCTTCATCCAGCATGGCACCACCCTCCTCATGGTGGCCTCCTACGCAGGCCACATTGACTGCGTAAGGGAACTGGTTCTGCAAGGAGCAGATATCAACCTCCAGAGAGAGGTAGGTCAGGTTATGCATTTGAATAAAAATGACCAAGCCAAGAGATCTGAAGTCATTCTAATAATGAATTGGTAAGAGGACAAGAGTCTTTATTGCTTTTCTACTACGTTAAAGTTCATTGTAGAATTTGTTGTGCCTTAAATAAGGTTGAGGAATGGACTGTCACTGGACATGTCTGAGGTAATTTTAAAAATCCATTTTGTGTTGCTCTAATAATACCTGAAGCTGAGTACTTTATAAAGAAAAGAGGTTTATTTAGCTTGCTGTTTTGTAGGTTGAAAGTCCAACATTGGGTGGCCCCATTGGTTTAGCCTTTGGTCATGGCAGCATTACAACATGGGAGGGAAGAAGATGGGAAATAGAAATGGCTGCATGCAGAAGAAACAAAGCACATGGGGTGGCCTTGCTTTATAACACCCCACTTTTACAAGACTCACTCACTCTTTGAGACCAACATTAATCGTTTCCAGATTCTACCCACCAATGACTTAATTGCTTTCCATTAGGCTCTACCTCTTTCAGATCCCACTGCCTCGACACTGCCACTCTAGAGCACAAGCTTCCAGTGCATGAAACATTGGAGGACACCCTGAAACCACATCAAATGCATAGCAAGCAGTAACCAAATCTCCTACCACATTTCTTAAACATTAACACATTTTGTCTCATGCATAAATCAGTTCTTCCTTCTTCCCTTGGCATAGATGCTATAGCATTTATAGGATTTTCCTAGAGGTCATTGTGTTTTTAGTCACCAATCTATTCATAATGAATCTTGCTTGCTCTCAATCATCCTCACCAAACCATCTCTTCTAAGGACTTTTCTGTCTGGCCATGTATTAAATAAGCTTTCCCAAAAAAAGCCATGTGGGTGAATGTTGAACTAAAATGTGAGCCTGTGCCCACACTTTCTTCAGGATAAGCTTCGGAGTGTGGTTTTGCCAGAGGATCCATTTTTGGTCTAATCTAGAAATGAGTAGGAAGGCTGAGATATTTTAACATACTTTGGGATTCCAGTCCTAAGAGCCTCCATATATTTCTAAGCTGACCTAAGACCTGGTAAAACAACCTTTATAGAGACATGTGCTCTGGAGATCTGAGAGTGAATCTGACCCCTCAGTTCACACTGACTCAGACCTGAGGTGGGCATCCTGGGCAAGCTCCAAACCAGACTGAGCACTTGGTTTTCCTTGATCGGGGCTTATCCCAAGTTCTGCCTTGCAGTTGTTTCAGAAAGATAACTCATCAACCAAAGCCTCGCAAAGCTAATGTAACCCATCTTTCCAGTCTGGACCACCACCCCTAAGTGGAGCAAGTTAGGACACAATCAGGCAGGTCTATGGGCTATGTCAAGAGTTCCAAAGTACATCCAGTAGTCCTTCCTGTCATTCTCTGGGTATTGGAGGCCTTGGCTGTAGATCATGAAAGAACAATGTGTGACTGACAGTTCCTGGAATCTAGTTCCCCATAGCCCTTGTTCCGCAAGGCTGGCCTATTAAGAGGGGCAGTGTAAAGAGACCACAGCAAGTTCAGTTAATCTTCCCACAACCAGGTTCTTTTGAACAATTTCCATAACAATAGATCATTGTTTTAGGTCATTTTTCACATCAGCACTTTGTTTCCCTCTGGGATGAAACTCTTTAGATCCATTTAGAATTATAGTTTAAAATTACCATCATCATTTGTATTCTTCCTTTCTGTTTTATGGTCCTTGTTTATTATAACTTTAAAGCAAAGACATTTTCTCTAAAGAAAACAACGTGATCCAGATCTGCTTGCTCAAAAACCGCATCCCAAAGTGCAGGTCCAATATGCACGAAAGCCTGTTTAGAACAACTGAGAAAAGTAAGGAGAGAGAAGCATTTGATTTCTACACAGATACTTTTGATGGTTTTATACTAATCTGTTTGGTTCCAATGGTTCAACTAGTCAACTAGTCTTAGAGATGAGGATTTACCAAAGCACACTCAGTTCGGAGGTAAATCATATGGCTCAAATGATGATACTCTTTAAGTTTCTAGAAGTCCCTTGAATATCCTGAAACCATGCCAATCTGGGACAATAGAACTGCTAACCAAAGGGAGACCCAACCTCACCCACCTGATTTGGAAGCTGGATGAGAGAGCCTTGCCGTGCTTTGGAAATTACTCTTAGGGTGGATTTATACCTTGGTCCATTATTAATCCATTTTAAAATCAAAATATTTGTTTTCTGAAAAAAATACCTGTCATTATTTCCTTAGCTTGGCTCTGTAGATACCCAGAGTTTTCTAGGGTGGCAAACTGGAAGCTAAATTGTCCTGAAAGACCATCACTGTAGAGAACCGGAAGTCATGGCTGATTATAACTGGCACACACAGGAACTACAAATGCCGTTAGTATGAGACCCTGGGTTTCAGTTAGTAAAGTACATACATTTAAGATCTTTATTCACATTCCAGACTGAAATCTAGATTCTGTTATCTATGAAGTGCTCCATTCTCATGGGTAATGGTTGATAGTATGTAAGTTACAAAATTGGCTCAAACTGCTGTCATTATGGCTTTTTATTAATGTGTCAAAAACATATTGAAAAACAATCTATTTCCATCTCTGACTTTTTTCAACTTGTAAAACCTGAAAGTCTGAACCCATTAAACAGTAACTCCCCATTCCTCCCTCCTCTTCACCCCTAGCAACCATCAACCTGCTTTCTGGTTCTATGAAGTTGACTTCTTTGGACACCACAGTAGAATCCAACTGTATTTGTCCTGTTGTGACAGGGCTTTCTCACTTAGTACGTCTTCAGGTTTCATCCATATTGTAGGATGTGTCAGAATTTCCTCCCTTTATAAAGCTAAATGATATTTCATTGTATGGATATACCATGTTTTGCTTGTACATCCATCAATGGACACTTCAGTTACTTCCACATTTTAACTGTTGTAAATGAGGCTTCTGCTTCACACTTATTAGGACACTTATCACTAAATTTAGGGCCAATACAGATAACCCAGGTTGGGTCCATCCCCTGAAAATCCTTAACATCTTTTGCCACATAAGGTGATATTCGTGAGTTTTAGGAATTTGGACCTCATCTTACAGGGAAACACCATTCACCCTACTATATCAGGAATAAAGCTCTCTTTCACCTTGTCACATCCCTGACCATGAAATAAATGAGTTTAAATGCAGCCCCTTCCTAAGCTAGAAAGTCTACATGCAGGGATAATGTTTTGTATTCTTTGTAAATGTATAAATCTGTAATTTAACTAAATGTCTTTCAAAGCCAGCCTGTCTCTCTCCCAGTCAGGTACAACTGCCCTTTTCTTTGCTGCCCAACAAGGTCATAATGATGTCGTGAGATTTCTCTTTGGATTTGGAGCATCTACGGAATGTAGGACCAAAGTAAGAGAACCTTCTTGATTTCATACCCTATTGAAAATTTTCAGAAGTCTTGGGTATTAAAGAAACCACCAATTTTTATAATTTCTTTCTGCAATATTATACAAATTTGTGCTCTGCTTTCTACAAGATTCTCAAGCCTACAGATATGGACCTCACCATGTTACTTATAATGGTTCAGGGATAGTTCTTGGAATTCATTCCAAACACTTATGATTTTGCTCTGAGCTCAAAATGGGAGAATTTCCTGAGGAATTATTTGAACTCTTTCTTGCACTGGTTGGTGCAAGACAACCAGTGTCTGGGACACTAAATCTTATAATCAGGAAGAGTACAGCACCAGGTAGCTCTCTAACTTTCTCTGTTTCCATGTAACTTTGTTCTGTTTCAAGATTAACCTCAATACTATAATAAGAATCAGTGGAAGTGTTAATCTGATCCTAGTAAATCTAAGAAATTTCTAAAGGCAGCAGTGCTTTTCATTTATCACTGAAATAGATAAGGCATTTACAGTTTATGTAGTTGGGCAAGTCGTTGTGGTCCCTCCTTTAAAGAAGTTATTGATTTTATGCAGATAAGAAAATCACGGTAATGGAAGGAGACCCTCAGGGTTATACAGTGGAGGGGGTAGAGAGAGAGGAGGGGAGGGGAGGGGAGAGGTGGGGAGGGGGGAGGGTGGATGATGGGAAAGGCAGCGGAGCACAACAGACACTAGTATGGCAATTTGTAAATCAATGGATGTGTAACTGATGTGAATCTGCAATCTGTGTATGGGGTGAAGGTGGGAGTTCATAACCCACTTGAATCAAAGTGTGGAATATGATATGTCAAGAAATTTGTAATGTTTTGAACAACCCACAATAAAAAATTAAAAAAAAAAAAAAAGAAAATCAAGGGGCTGGAGTTGTGGCTCAGAGGTGGAGCACTTGCCTAGCATGCATGAGGCACTGGGTTCGATCCTCAGCACCACATAAAAATAAATACTTAAAAAGATATCGTGTCCACCTATAATTAAAAAAATATTTTTAAAAAGACTCTTAAAAAAAAATCAAGCCTTGCAAAAAGACCAATTTTGTGTTCACAACCTAGATTTACTTGGTAATGTTCTGTAGTAGGAGAGTATGAACAGATTGTTGTAGTCGTCAGCTCATTTCTGGCCTAATCATAATAAAAGCAAAAGTCCTGAAAAAAATTTCCAAGTTGGAAACTTAGGTTTTCTTAACCAACTGTATGTAACATTTAGATGTCAAAGGAATTTCTGGTAGATCTTTTTTCCTGGTAAATTGCTAAATATTAAGTAAATCCACATCTCATATAGGATTTCCGCCTTTTCTGAAACCTGCTATTTCACTGTGCTCACATCTCCAAACATACTGAGTATAATATACAGAAATACAAAATATTTATGTATATTTTATATTAATTATCACTTCATTTAAAAAAATATTTATTTTTTAGTTGTAGTTGGAAACAATACCTTTATTTTACTTATTTATTCTTATGTGGTGCTGTGGATTGAACCCAGGGTCTTGCACGTATGAGGAGAGCGCTCTACCGCTGAGCCACAACCCCAGCCCCCCCACCTCATATTTTATAATGAGAAATGCAACTAAAAATAGAAAGGTCTACGAACTTAAATCTCCATTCTTTAACAAAGTCAGAATGATCATGTGTGACCATGTGACTACTTCAGTCTTCTTGGTTAACAAGTTAATACTGGCTTAAAGCCTTTACACCTGAGCCAATTTGTCCTGTCCCAGAAATCCACAGCACATGGGGGCCCAAGAGGAGCAATTCCACAGGTTTCCATTAAGTCAACTGCAGGTGTCCAAGAGCTTTTTTTCTTTCAAGGGAAGAAGAGGCTGTGAGTTTCAATATGCTCCTGTCTTCAAAACTGACTGTTTCAACAGTTATTCTCTTTGTATTAAATTTAAAAAGTTATAATCTAAAACTGTGTCCTTAAAAATCAGGGCTCAGTTCTATCATAATCATTGTATTTTACTCTTCTGTTACCTCATTAGTCAAATAGCTGAGAAAATTGGCAGGACAAAACCTGAAAACAGTGGAACTAAGTGATGCTATTAAGCAATTTCTTGATCCCCCCTCAAACCTCCCCAATGAGCTGCAGCCTTCAGTCCCTCTCCTCTCCCTTCCCCACCCCTCAGGGCCCAGCTCAGCACCCGTCCCCACCACACAGCCAAACATCCTCACCACAAACTTACTAAATCTGACCCTCTGAAGGTGGAACTCCTTTCGAACAAAAACCCTATTCCTAACTTTAGAAACCACAGTATCGTATTTGTGATTCATATTTTTTAGTCAGATTACATGTTCTTGAATTATTTAAATGTCCACCTAACAATTCACAGAGCCAAACAACTCAACCATTCTAGAAAGGAAAAGATAATGTCTTACCTGTAGTGCCTGAGAAAAACCATTAATGGTTTTCATTGACCACAAACTCAATGAGTCAGTAGTGTGATGTGGTTGGCATCAAAGCTAATTCTAATTTGAGCCACAGAAATAAAAGTAGAGTAGATGGAAGAAAGGAATCTCCACATCAGAGCACACCAACTTTATAGTGTTCTACTTTGTTTGGGGGCCCTTACTTTGGAAGAGACCTGGGAAATTGGCAGATGTTCAGAGGAAAACACTAGGTATGACAGTGAGAGACACGTGGGACATGCTGTCGTCCTCTGCTCTTTTAATGGAGGCAAATCTTGCCCCAAGAAAGCAGTGGTTCCGGAGGGTCACCCAAAAAAGCATCTTATACTCAATGGATTTTAACTGGGTGGCACCACAGGGAGAAGCCAGTGTTTGTTAGGGAGGGAGGTCTCTGGCCAGAAGCCATGGGAGGCTCTTCTGGCTATTCCAGGATGGAACTGACAAGACTTGGCACAGATGTTGTGCTCTGTTTTACTCATATTGAGAAGCAAATAGATGGTTCTGCATTCAGCATGGGAAATTCCTTATCATAATAACTTGGTGAAATAACTGTAATAGATCTCTAGCAAATCATCCAAGTGTACAACATAGACATGTCCTTAAGATGAACCTGATCATGATTATAATGCAAAGGTAAAAGGGTGAAAGAAAGAGAGTTTGTTACTATCTATGGGCAGATTCTCTTCCAAAGTTCTATCTATGTGAGGAGCTCCTTGGTAAATACGAGCCTATACTTCTCTAAAGGCATTTATACTTTTCATGTCCACAGGATGGGGGCACCGCCCTGCTGGCTGCCAGTCAGTATGGGCACATGCAGGTGGTGGAGACCTTGCTGAAGCACGGAGCCAACATCCATGACCAACTTTATGTGAGTGTGTTTTCAAGCGGACACTTGCTCCTTCCTTCATCACACACAGCATTGCAGTCTAAATCCAGATGTTGGAAACACCAACTTCAAAAACATTTTAAATTGGGACTTTCATCTGAGACATCAAAAGGAAAAGATATAGTTGACCACATGAGCTTTTTCTATATAGAAACCATATAATATTTACCCATCATTTTTTTTGTCCTCAGTCTTAAATGTTGTATGTCTGAAATATTTCAGATACCTATGCACATTAAGGTCTTCAAAATCATAAGATACATAATCACTCATATCATGATGACCACATAGCCCAGCATGTGGACTTGCCAATAACCAAAATATACTGTCCTATTGTATAGTCATTTGTGAGGAAGGACACAAGGAGGAGAGAAGCAGGTGGGTGGGAGGGTGCACCATAGACCTTTGAAAGGCACCCATTGCTAGTGTGGGTCTATTTGTAGCTAATTGGCAATTATCACATTACCTTGGGGCTCTTTTAATTGTGACTGTCATTCCATAGGCTTCATGGAAAATGTTTTCCCGGTTTTGTAGGGGAAAAAAATGAAATATGGGGAGATGAAGTGACTTGACAGAATCTCGTGGAGAGGAGGGAAAGAATTCCTACCTCCAACAATCTAGGAACCATATTCTAGATTATCCCCAAACTAGGTTTTTAGCCCTTTTGCCTAGGGCACTCTGCTTTCATAGCTGGATAATGAGCTGTGGAGGTGTGAACGTTTCCATTGGAGTACCCTTTCCAAGTTTACCTAGTTAGCTCTGATAAATCACAGGCCTCTTTGAAGTCCATGGCAACTAGCCTTACCCCTCTGCACTTCAAAATCTGTGACACTCTTTGAGCCTGCAGCATTAAGAGTAGAATGAATGAGTTACTTGATAATGATCTAAAGGAGTGATTCTCAACTCTGGCTGCCCATTAGAAGCACCTGGGGAGCGTTAAAAAAAATATTTCAATTACCAAGCCATCCAAAAAGAGTGAGGGCACAACTTGAGCAACAGGTGGTTCTGACATGTGGCCAAATCTAAGAAACACAGGCCTAAAGCTTTAGCTATTTCTTTGGCTTTATATAGGTAAGGTGTGCCTGAGTGTGTTTACTAGTGCATATATGTGTAGATTGATAAGAAGAGACAAAGTCTTTGAAAAGGGAAATTCATTGTGATTTTCATAGCCATCCAAATTGACTATGGGTAGAGAATTTGTACTCATTAAAAAATATTCTTCCAGAAGACTCTTGGAGGACACATACCGCAGAAATACAGAGTTTTGGGGGGGAACCTCCAATGCCAAATTCCTTTCTATTGTAAGCCGAATCAAAAATTTTATGCATCGATAAAGGGGAATGAAGGGAAGGAAGGAGAGATGGGAATAGGAAGGACAGGATGAATAGGACATAATTTCCTATGCTCATACATGAATACATGAGTAGTGTAACTCCACATCATGTGCAACCACAATAATGGGAAGTTATACTCCAGGTATGTATAATATGTCAGAATACATTCTACTGTCATATATAGCTAAGCTACCCAGTCAGCTCTAAAATAAATAAAAAGGTTTTTTTAAACACAATTTTTAAAAAAATTGTGCATCACAACTTCCCTTTACTCTCACCCGAATATACCACATACGGGGATGGGGAGCAGGGGTTAGGGATCCCTTCTAGGAACTGAAACTTGCAATGCCAGCGAAAAATGCATCACTGCCCCAGGGATGCATAGATGGTGCAGTTCAGAAAATTCCTGAGAGCAGCCGCTAAGGGCATGGTAGACTTACTGAGGCATTAGGGAGCAGCTGGGATTTCTATCCCTGTATCTGCTTAAAAATCTGTACAGACTAATTTTTTTTAAATTATTATTGCCTTAAGGGCAGTCTGGCAGCTCAGCTGACACCCACTGGAAATCCAGTACGCTGCACATGAGGCGCCTAGTTGAACTTGCAGGGAAAGGTGTTTTGTGTTTTAGCTGTTTGTTAGCATTCCCAACTGGAGGTGTGATAATTAGCTGGGCTGAGTGGGTGTTTTCCACTAAGGTGTGCTCTGAGTTTTCCACTGCAATCTAGAAACAATGAGGCTAACCCTACTCTGTGCATGCCCTCTGGGTGAAGTGAGCATTTGGGAGATGTGTGCTCTCAGTCAATCATACATTTACTGCAATTACCTGGTGACCTGTGTCCGTGAAAAAAAGAAATGCCCAGGAGACAGAGGCACCCAGTTAAAAAGAAAACTCAAGAAAATGGGAGCTCGAGTTTTGGGCTTTTATGCCTCACCTTTTACATTTGTTGATGTCTCCTGGATTGGGAGCATCTTTGTGGAGATTCTTTCAAAGGGCAGTTTATCTGAAAACATCATACCTTTTAATTTTTGTTGTTATTCTTGTGGTGATGGTGATAGTGGTACTGGGAATAAAACTGAAGGCCTTGCATGTGCTAGGCAAGTGCTCTACCACTGAATTATATCCCCAGCCTATTGTGCCTTTTAATACTCAGGGAAACTGTATGTTAAGGAGACATGGATAAGGGACCAAGAAAGACAAAGGTGTAGAAAAGATCAAATTGAAAGGACATTTTTACACCCTATTCATAAAAACACACAAAATAGGTTTGAGGTATTTTTGTTGTTATCTAACACTAAGCTCATCATTAAAAAAAAAAAAGGAGGGGCTGGGGATGTGGCTCAAGTGGTAGCGCGCTCGCCTGGCATGCGTGCGGCCCGGGTTCCATCCTCAGCACCACATACACACAAAGATGTTGTGTCCGCTGAAAACTAAAAAATAAATATTAAAATTCTCTCTCTTTCTCTCTCTCTGTCTCTCTCACTCTTTCTTTAAAAAAAGGATAAAAATCTAAAAGGAGATGAAAATGGAAAATTATATTAAATGTATTTTTCACTTTGATTTATTTAAAAATAAACGTAAGACATAATTTTTGAATACTTTCAATTTGCCTTCTTTCAGGATGGAGCCACTGCCCTCTTCCTAGCGGCCCAAGGTGGTTACTTAGATGTTATTCGATTATTGCTGTCTTCAGGAGCAAAAGTCAACCAGCCGAGGCAGGTAATGTCCATTGATGAAGTTTGCTCAAGTGCATGAGGCTGTTAGATGTCCTCTAGCAGGACATACCTAAGATACCCAGTCAGCTCTAGGCATTCTTTGAACCCTTTTGCCCCTGTGATGAAAACTTAATCTTTGATTAAGGTTTCTCCTGGACTATGCTTTGGACTAACCAGAAAGCCTATGGAATCAAGTTGACATCACCATCCGGTGCTTTTAAAACTTGAGTGTTTAGTCTGAGGTCAAGTATGCATTCTGCCACCTCCTGTTCAAATAAAGTATGACTGCACTGAAATAATGAGTGTTGGCTAGCCTGGAACATAGGTAAATAGAGGCAAGTCCTGCCCGGCCCCTCTGCTGATACTCTGCCTTATCTCCTATGCCTACCCCCACTTTCCTCCACCACACATAGAGGAGCCCAGGCTGTTGGAATCTTGGGCAGATTCTGCACCTTCATCTCTCAAAATCATATCACTTTTGAGATTTCATTTACCAACAGCCTGTTAACATCTGGCTAGTCCATCCACAGATACTTAAAGGAACAGAAATGCAAGCTAACAATGGCAGCACTTGATGAGCAGTCAAGAGCCCTCCAAAAGTAAGGAAGCATAATATGTTGCTCTTTCTCTGCCCCAATTAATTTTCGAGGGGAGGGGTGGTACCAGGGATTTAATTCAGGGGCACTCGACCACTGAGCCACATCCCCAGCCCTATTTTGTATTTTATTCAGAGACAGGGTCTCACTGAGTTGCTTATTGCCTCGTTTTTTTGCTGAGGCTGGTTTTGAACTCACAATCCCCCCACCTCAGCCTCCCAAGTGCTGAATTTACAGATGTGTGCCACGCTGCCTGGTTTGCAGCATGACGCACATCTGTAAATGTGAGACATGACTATAAAGGTAGTACTTAGGCTAAAGCCAAGCTGATGTCTTACCAGTAATGACCCCCAGGCAGGTTTCCATTGAAATTGACCTGATAAGGGAATACCTAGATATTTACAGAATGCCTCTCTACAGAACCTTCGGGTTGGTCTGAGGTCTTGGCCATAAGCTTTGCGGATCTTCAGAAGCTCATTAAAAACTGAGGAAAGAAAGCGCTTTGGGATATAAGGTCTGGATTACGGAGTGCTGTATTCAGTAACAAGTTGTGTGGTTTTGAACAACAAATCAACCTCTCCAGCCTTCATCTGAAAATTAGGAAGCTGGGCACGATGAACCTAACAACACTTCGAGTTTGTCAAGTTTTGATAGTTGTTTTATTCAACATTCAATCTGTGTTTCCTAGCACATATCATGTGCCAGGCACTGCTATGAATGTAAAGTTGTATTTTTAGAATTTTAAAGATCTTAGCTTTAAATGGTGATAAGAACGCTATTCAGAAAAAGTTGAATCCTAAGACCTACCAAAGCTGATATTTGGGATGGAGTTTGTTATTTTCTTGACTATCCTTCTTATTTTGAAGTTGTTGACTGATTCTGAATCAGAGATTTCATTATACCAAAATTAATTAAAGAAATTCATTGTTTTTAGACTGTAGAAATTTGATTTGGAGATGATTATCCAAGGTGCCACTGTGAACTTAGGCATGAGATATTGTCAAGATTATCAAGCGTCTAGTACTTCCTCCCCAAATAATTTATGGCACTTTGACAAATCTATTTGTAAAATATATTTTATATTTCATATGCCAAAGATTCTGTATGTAAACAAACAACAATAACAACAAGGTTGATAGATGATGTTTCAAATGTTGTATCCACTTGAACCTAAATTGAGTCATGCAATGACCCTGAAACCAAAAGTTAAAGAATAAACCAACACTGCAGCAGTAACCACAACATGTGGTTGTTTTCATTCCTAGGGAGTGAGGATAACCTGGTCAAAGGGATTGACCTGGCCTCTGAAGACCCACCCTTGAGTTAAGACACATCCTTCCAAAGATTGCGCCTCATGGGCTCATTTTGAATTGTTCAGAGCCCAGCTCTGAAAGCACCATTATTCAGGAAAGGGGTGTTTTATAAAATAAGAATTGCTTTGAGAGAAAAAAGCAATGGAATTTTCCCTTTTTATAGAGTACGCTGCCCCATTGTGTTCTTAAATCGTAATCAGTTTTACTACTTGCTGTGAGTATATAATGAAAGGCTCTTATCTATCCAGGTCAGACTAGCCCAAGTTCTGCCTTCTTTGAAATTATAACTCTGCTGATTTCATTCTGTTTTTTAAAAAAACAAATAATGTCATAAAAGTGACAAAAGTTATACGACTCCTGGCTGACTTTCTTACAAGTTATAAGAAGCTTTCAAAAAAAATAAAAGAAATTGTAATTTCAAAATTTCCATTAAGATGACCTGCACCTGGTAGTATGTTATAGGGAAAGCATCTGGAAACCAACCTTTACTCTGAAATCTCAGCTGACATATTGTGTCGTTATCAAAAAGTTCTCAGATTTACAAAATAAGGACAAAGATATTTTCCTAGTTTCATTTCTTACTATTCTTAGATAAATCTGAGTTATAATCTTTGTGCTGCCATTATATGGAGTCCCCCTACTTACCGGTTTATGACTACAGGATGTTAATAAAGTTGCTTTGAAATTGCTCAGCTGACATTTGATCAGAGCTGCAGGGAATCTGAACTGTACTAAGAATGACTTTTCTTTGTAACTCTACCACTGAGAACGAAATGGAGACCTTTTTCATACTTGGTGCTGAGGAAGCATAAACACAAGCAAGCCCCAGTCAGGTGTGGGAATGACTAAGCTTTTAATTTGAAATTTGAAGACTTTCCTTCCACACCATCCACATAAGGAGGTCAAGAGATCCTTGAACTCCACAATCACTCTAAAATCTCATTTTTGTTTCTTTCCATGTGTCCTTTCCAAGTAGAGTTGACATGAGTCAAACCTTTGAATCAGTAGCCAAGGTGCCTATAGTCTATTTTTCTTTTTTTTTTTTTTTTTGCAAACAAGGTAAATTCAGATTTATTGTGGCACAATAAATTAATAACAGCATTTGATCTTTATCTTTTTTATTACATTGGTCAAATCACAAAACAGTAGATTTGGTTGAAACATTAAAATATGATACCTATAGCCACTTGCAAATGTGGCACACTTTATTAATTAAGCTCTTCAAAGTTGTGATTTAATTGCTATGAAAATGCTATTTGTTGATTTTTGACTTAAAAATAGTTGAAATTAATGGGCTTTTAAAAAAATATTTTTAAATATATTTCTTTTTAGTTGTAGGAGGATACAATACCTTTATGTATGTATGTATGCATGTATGTATGTATTTATTTATTTATATGTGGTGCTGAGTATCTAACTCAGAGCCTCACACATGCTAGGCATGTGATCTATTGCTGAGCCACAACCCCAGCTCTTATGTGCTTTTTTCATGCAAGACATTTATTGAATAGATTTTAGTTTAAGCTTCCAGAATGCTTACAGATAGGAATTGTCATTGATCATAAAAACAAATTTCAAACTTGTAAAACATCTTTATTTTAAAATGTGCTTTTGTATTAAGTTGGCATACTAAGGTACATTAAGGGATGGACTTTTTCCTTTTACTGAAATTCAGTTAATTTGTTTAAGATTTGGGATAATTTATAGAGACAGAGTTGAAACTAAAAAGAAAAAAAAACATAAGGAAATAGGCTTTTATAATCAGTAATAGAATAAAGGGGATTTTTTTTTTAATTTTTTATTGTTGGCTGTTCAAAACACCACACAGTTCCCGACATATCATATTTCACACTTCGATTCAAGTGGGCCATGAGCTCCCATTTCCACCCCATATACAGATTGCAGAATCACATCAGCTACACATCCATTGATCTACATACTGCCATACTAGTGTCTGCCGAGCTCCGCTGCCTTTCCTATCCTCTACTATCCCCCCTCCCCTCCCCTCCCCTCTTCTCTCTCTGCCCCCTCTACTGACATTCATTTGTCCCCCTTGTATTATTTTTCCCTTTCCCCTCACTTCCTCTTGTATGTACTTTTGTATAACTCTGAGGGTCTCCTTCCATTTCCATGCAATTTCCCTTCTCTCTCCCTTTCCCTCCCACCTCTCATCCCTGTTTAATGTTAATCTTCTTCTCATGCTCTTCGACCCTACTCTGTTCTTAGTTACTCTCCTTATATCAAAGAAGACATTTGGCATTTGTTTTTTAGGGATTGGCTAGCTTCACTTAGCATAATCTGCTCTAATGCCATCCATTTCCCTGTAAATTCTATGATTTTGTCATTTTTTAATGCAGAGTAATACTCCATTGTGTATAAATGCCACATTTTTTTTATCCATTCATCTATTGAAGGGCATCTAGGTTGGTTCCACAGTCTTGCTATTGTGAATTGTGCTGCTATGAACATCGATGTAGCAGTGTCCCTGTAGCATGCTCTTTTTAGGTCTTTAGGGAATAGACCGAGAAGGGGAATAGCTGGTTCAAATGGTGGCTCCATTCCCAGCTTTCCAAGAAATCTCCATACTGCTTTCCAAATTGGCTGCACCAATTTGCAGTCCCACCAGCAATGTACAAGTGTACCCTTTTCCCCACATCCTCGCCAGCACTTGTTGTTGTTTGACTTCATAATGGCTGCCAATCTTACTGGAGTGAGATGGTATCTTAGGGTGGTTTTGATTTGCATTTCTCTGACTGCTAGAGATGGTGAGCATTTTTTCATGTACTTGTTGATTGATTGTATGTCCTCCTCTGAGAAGTGTCTGTTCAGGTCCTTGGCCCATTTGTTGATTGGGTTGTTTGTTCTCTTATTGTCTAATTTTTTGAGTTCTTTGTATACTCTGGATATTAGGGCTCTATCTGAAGTGTGAGGAGTAAAGATTTGTTCCCAGGATGTAGGCTCTCTATTTACCTCTCTTATTGTTTCTTTTGCTGAGAAAAAACTTTTTAGTTTGAGTAAGTCCCATTTGTTGATTCTAGTTATTAACTTTTGTGCTATGGGTGTCCTATTGAGGAATTTGGAGCCCGACCCCACCG